CCCCAGTACCACAAAAAAAAGAAGGAAATAAGCCATGTGTGAAGAAAATAGAATTGTAGGAAAGGAAAAATAGGCCCTTGGCAGATGACGAGCAACCATGAATATGAATGGGTGACATGAAAGGACACAGTCACTAACCCCTTGGCCCACAAGGAAAGAGGTGGCCAGTGACTGCAGAAACAGGAAACCCACAAGGCCATGCTGGACGTGCAAAACATCCTACATGCCAGGTCTTTGTGGAAAAGCCCGACAACTGGTGTTGATCTCTCAACCTAAGTGTCTTCTTTTTTTTTTTTCTTTTGTCTTTTTGAGACAAGGTCTCACTATGCAGTTCAGGCTGGTCTTGAACTCACTCTGTAGCCCAGGCTGGCCTCGAACTTGCAGTGATCTCCTGCCTCAGCCTCCCGAGTGCTAGGATTACAGGTGTGTGCCACCTAAGTGTCCTCTGATGGGAAAAATCTAGAAGAAAATTGAGGGGGCGTACTGGGAATTGAACTCAGGACTTCACGCTTGCCAGGCAGGTGTAGTGCTGCTAAGCTATATCCCTGGCCCTAGAATAAAACTTTTAAAAAGGATAATGCCTGCCTACAGTTCCACCTACTTGAGAGGCTGAGACAGGACAACTGCTTGAGCACAGGAAATCAAGGTGAGGCAGGCATGGAAGACTGTCTCAGGGACAAAAAGGCCCTGGGGTTAGTGGACAAATACAGTCTTTGGGGACCATGAGAAGCAGATAGAGTTTGAGGCAGGAACATCCATGAGACATCCACCTGGCTTGTCTTGCAGCTTCTCCTCCCCATAGCAACTAGGAGTTTTATTAGCCAGGTGAGAGTGCATGTACTGTTTATCACCAACACTGGCCATATGCACAAATAAATGCAGTAGGCTTAGCCAGGTACAGTAGTGCACACCTGTAATCCCAGCACACAGGAGGCTGTGGCAGGAGGATCACTGTGAGTTCAATACCAGCTTGGCCTACATAGTGAGTTCAAGGCCAGCCTGAACTAGGTAATGAGACCCTGCCTCAAAACACAAACAAAACAAAAAAGCAGCATGCTTTTGTAAGGCTCAATTTGGACATAACTCTCCCAATACCTAACCTGTCATCAGAGGCATTGCTCTCAGCTCAGCACTATTGCATTAAGCAAACACAGATGTCATAAAAGAGGTAAGATGGTGCACCAGCAAGCAGAAACACCGAAACGACACATAGGATTTGGAGGCAGATTTATTTACAGGGGTGGGCACTGATCAGGATCATTCCCAGAATATTAGACCCTGATCTCTGGAGGTCTTGGGCTTATGTGGGATAAGCAAGCAGGAAGTACAGAGGCAAAATGGTTCTTCAATTGGGGATTGATTTATACAATGTGCGTCACAGTGACCAGCCGTTTCTAAGAGACGGGAGCAACTGGAACTGGAACTGGAACTGGAACAGGAACTCAGAAACTGAAGTATGGGGGGGCATTTTCTGCTACAGTGGATCATGGGCATCTGAAGACACCCTGATATTTACACTGAAATATCCTTTTCCTTTTTTTTTTGTACTGAGAATCGAATTCAGGACCTTGTGCTTGCCAGACAAGTGCTGTGCCACTGAACTATATCCCCAGCCCTAATATTTACACTGGATGCCTCCAGGACTTTGCCCAGTGAGGCATGGGACAGCCAGAGAACGTTAACAACTGTTTATTAAGCTCTTCCTGCCTAACGTCCCTAGCCTTTTCTCAAGCCTTATTAAAAAAAAAACAAAAAACGCTTCTCTTTGCTCCAGACAGATGGCCTTTTCACCCTCTTCCAGCACCGAAGTACAACGAATTCCAAGCCATGTTGTCTCACACTGTTCCTCACAGCTCTACCTTGAAAGTTTTAAGTACCTTTGTTTGGTAGAGACTTTTCCCCAGTTAAGGGTAGTACCCTAAAAGACAGTCACAAGGACTCCACTTACCGGATTCAGAGTTTTATTTATAAGCCAGGCGTGGTGGCCACCACAACCGCAGCACTCTAGGAGGTTGAGGAACGAAGATCCCGGCCTGTACAACTAAGACTCAATGAACCCTTATCTCAAAATTTAAAAAGGGATGGGCCTGGGCACACTCTGGAGGCAGAGGCAGAAGGATCACTGCAAGTTCAAGGCCAGCCTGGGCTACAAAGCCAGACTTTGTTCAAAAAATATCAAAAGAGAAAGAATGAGGGAGGGAGGAAGGAAGGAAAGGCTGGAGGTTAGCTGTCTGAAGGCCCTGGATTCAATTTCCAATACTGGAAAAAAAGAAGTTTTATTTGTAAACCCCCAAAACAATTTATCAAGTTTGTGTAACCTTGCAGGGTGTGGTGGCACATGCCCGTAATCCCAGCACTCGGGAGGCTGAGGCAGGAGGATCTTTTCGACTTGGAGGGCAGCCTGTGCTACAAAGTGAGCTCAAAGCCAGCCTGAACTGCATAGCAAGACCCTGTCTCAAAAAGACAAAAAAAAAAGTTTGTGTAACCTTCAGACCTGCAACCAAGCCAATCTTCCCTGAATTTTGTACCCTTAAATGTGTCTCTCTGCTTCCTATTCCTTGGAGGATGTGGACAGGAGACTTAAATTTAATTCTGTGAGAAAACAGGTCGCTGACCAATTATCTCCCGAGTGAAGGGGCACAGGCTGGCTTGAGCCTTGCAAACGCGGGCTGCGTGGGAGAGAGAAAGTGTCAATGCGACTGAATGGCCTCAGCTCCGGTCAGGTGCTCCTGCTCTGCACGGAGACCGGTGGCCTTGTCTGTGAAAAAAACAAAAGGTCAGGGGCCTTTCCTTTTTAGAGTTGCACCAGGACTACAAGGAGTTTTGTTTTGTTTGCCCCTCTCCCCACGCTCTTTACTCATAAGAGATCTTAAAGAAGTCCCATATCTACAACTACAAGCAGTTGGGGAAAAATACTAAGATTCAAGGGTGTGTGTGTGTGTG